TCTGTGCCCTGGGCCCTCGGGGTTGCCTGGAGGTGCCCTCAGCAGTGTGGCCAGGCTGCTGGGAGAAGTCCATGCTGATGAGCTAGGGTTGCCAAGTGCTTTCTTACCTGGAGCGGGGGACTCCCGGGTTGCGTCTGGAGTGCGAGCGCTCCCGGAAGTGATGTGACAACGCGGGGCACACTGGGGGCGGGGCCACGACCATCCGAGGGGAAACCATAAACCTTTGACTGTGCCATTGAGCGAGTCCAATCCAAATTTTTGCGGAAAATCATGGCTGCTGGGGCCCCTTGCCAACTACATTCTCTGTCTGCTGGCCGATTTCTTTCAGGGGGTTGGGTAGGTGTGCCCCGGACATGGCCCTGCCGCCAGTGGCCCCCCTCCCCCAGCTGCGACACGCACGGGGCCCAGTCCCCAGTCTTGCCGTCCCGTGATTGGTTCTGTCCACTCTCTCCATCACAGCCCCGCTGCGGCACCTCCTGACCTGTTTGGGCTGCAGAGGCGTGGTTGTGTCCCGTGTCTTCCAGCTGCCTCTTGGCCTCTGTTGGAATCCTCCAGGGGGTACGTTGGACCACAGGAGCACTGCTCAGGCCCAGGTAGCCCTCGGGATTGCGTTGTCCACGTCGCATTTAGAGTATCTATGTGACAAAGTGGCGCAGACTCACAGTTGAGTGCCAGTGCACGCTGACTGTATCTGTAGAGGGGCCTCAGTTCAATCCCCAGCACCACGTGTTGGGAAAGGCAACTTTTCCTGCCTGAGACCCCAGAGAATTGCTGCAGAGTAGACATCACTGGCCCAGCTGGACCTCTGGACTGACAGTCAAATAAGGCACGTCTCACATCCTCAGCGTATGAGGCCAGGACTATGCAGTTCCGAATCCTGCGTGGGGGGGGGGGAAGCAACCAGAGGATGTGGGGGGGGGGAGGGAGAGGGAGGCTCAACTATCCCCTCGTCCCCACTGTCTTTGTTCCAAACCAGCCAGTGACATCAGGATAATGCATTATCACTCTCATCTGAAAAACGTCCCGTTGAATCCAAAGGTTATTCCCTGTTGTTATGACGTCACTTCATCCAGGGAAGAGGGGGAAAGTTTCATGGAATCCCCCTCTTCCTGAAGCTCATCGAGCCCTCTAAGTTGTGGAGTCTTGTGAGCAAAAATTCTACTCTGTGAGCTACTGGCATTAAAGTTGTGAGTGAGCAGTTTGGCTGCTGCATAAATTAGTTGCTCTAGAAGAAGAAGAAGAAGAGACTGGATTTATACCCCGCCCTTCACTACCCAAAGGTGTCTCAGAGCAGCTTACAAACTCCTTTCCCTTCCCCTCCCCACAACAGACACATTGTGAGGTAGGTGGGGCTGAGAGAGCTCTTGACAGAAACTGCTGGCTTGCCAAAGGTCATCCAGCCAGGTGCAAGCGGAGGAGTGGGGAATCAAACCCGGTGCTCCCAGATTAGATTCCTTCCTGAGCTAAGACAAAAATGTGTGAGCCAGAGGCTAAAAAACTGTGAGCTAGCTCACACGAACTCAGCTTAGCAGGAACACTGGATCTCATCCATGCTGCAAGGGCCAGATCCTGATCGGGCCCACAGCGCAGCGAGATGAGGTGCTTTTGTACCTACCCCCCAAAGTGGCAGCTGTTTTGAGACTTGAAAAGAGCACTGTGCTGCAACCCTGTTCCCCTTCCACCATTTTAAAATGGTGGCTATGTCCTTATGGCAGTCATGAGAATACTTTCACATCGAGGCTGGCCCTGGGAAACAGAGTGTTTGTGTGTTGAGCGTCAGCGGAGGGAGGAGGTAAAAAACACCATGCCTTCTGCTCATGGAAAATGGCCTTTGGATACAACCCATTAACCATGATCCACTGCTCCTCCTCCAATGGGGAAATACTAAAGACGTAAACGGGTTTAGCAGTTATTCCCTCCTGTCAAAGAAATATAGCCTGGTAGGAGTGAAAGGGGAAGATGAAGGTCCTGTTCAGAACTCTGAGATAAACACTGAATTGCCTCAGGTAGGGAGGTTGAAAAATGACCTTATGATAAGGCATAATAAGCCCCTGGGATGCAGAAGGCTTTTGCCAGCAAGGCAGGAAAATTCCATAGAGGAACCTGGCCTTTTAGCCCTGACATCTTGCGGTTTGGAGAGTCCCCAGTTCACGGAAACAGCCGGACTCCAGACACTAGGGTCAGCTGTTTTCATCCTGCCTGAAACATGTAACCAACTAAGAAGCAAAGGGCAATGGGCTGCTTACTTTGCTAACCATGCAGAAAAAGGGGGAACCAAAACTGGACAGATAGCTCATGATAAAAACTGATGACCATACTGATTCAAAAATGGAAACGTCCAAAAATCCCGCTGACTGAGGACTAAAACCAGACTTGACCTCAACAATTTGGAAATACCCTTTTGGGCTGTGCGCATGATCTTTGGGTAAGGGAGGAGGGAAACGGGAAATAGGTGAAGAATGTGAGGGGGATTGCCAACTGGTAATCCCAGCCAGAGGGTATATAAGTGCCTGTGCTGCGACACAGCTTTCAGAGACAGGACGGAGGACTTCCCTCCGCCGTTTCTCCATGCTTTGCAAACCACGCTACAATAAAGCCAAACTTGTTTGAACCTCCGTGTGGATCTCCTGCTTGACTCGTGTCCGGTCATCCGCACGTAACAGGAGAAGCATCTCTAGATGTCTGTAACAAAGCCTTTTTAGTAGCTTATCAGAATCACAACTCCCAGGATCCTGTAGAGTTAGCTTTGACAATTATAAAACTGGTAGTATAGTTGTAGCAGAGATACTCCCAAAGTTTGTGGCCGCAAAAATCAAAGCCGGTGTATTTCCTCTTGCGACTGACATCTGTCCATTGGTGGACAAGAAGAAATGGAACAGTACAAACAGCTGACAACTATAGTCATTGGTGTTTTGGGATGGCTGCAATTGAACAATATGCCCTTTGTGCAAACTCAAGAACTTATATGGTCACTGTTGGCTTTCTTTCCCTGAAGAGCTTCTTTTGACACTCCTCTGGCACATTACAAAAGCCACACATCACAAAGCCTGTGTGTGTCCCCACTCCACTCCACACCATGACCAACTGACCAGATATGTTCTGGGAGTTCTGTGCTACAACTTGAAGAAGAAGAAGAAGAAGAAGAAGAAGAAGAAGAAGAAGAAGAAGAAGAAGAAGAAGAGGAGGAGGAGGAGGAGGAGGAGGAGGAGGA